AGCTTGAGAGATATTGGAAACAGGGCATAGAATTGTGTATAAATGAACAGATGAACGTTTAAAAACAGACCGTAGATCCCTTTTAAAGGATATATTTGAATGCGTGAAGGAGAAAAAGTTGACCCTTAAAGCCGGCCATAAAATCCATCGTTAAACAGACATGAGCTACCAGACAAACTACCCTGGGCAAACAGTCACTAATTGTTTAGTTGTATTGAGACTTTTGTGGTCCCAATTCATCTGCGTGACCCCAGCTTAATTCGTCCGATCTATTTTCTGTGTTTTCGCATTTTCATCATCATCTAATCAAGAAAACAGATTAGCTAGGGTTTTTCTGGACATCTTCGCCAAACTTTGCTGGCTCTTGTCTTGTCAAGACACGAGCGACCGCCAGTTCCACGCCTTTCACCTTGATCTCTCTTTTTTCATCCTCTCCTTCTGAGAAAACTTAATTAGCAATCATTTGATTCGGTCGATTTTCGGGAATGCGAATCCTGAAATAGCCCTAGGGATAGAGACTTGTTGGAACAGGTGATGAGAAGGTATTTACTCAAAATAGATCATTTCTGGTAAAGTGGAATCGCGTGTGACGTCTTTGAGCTGAGTAGTGAAAGAAAATGCAATGTAACAGAATAAAACAAACTTAAATAGTCAAACGTTAACTCCTGATTTGATCTATTTTCTCATTTATTTGTTCATTCTGACCTTTCTGTTCTTAGTTATAAAACGAAATGAGAGGAAGTAAAGAATAAAACAAAAATCATTTGGATTGAAAACGGAGCCAGTAAATTCATTTGGTTGGCTAAAACCCTGGGATCATGTGCATACAAAGAAATTCCGATCTATGTCTCAAGTGCTAAGGAATTGGTTTGCTACAATTATACTGAGTTAAGCCTGAAAGAGCTCAAACCTTGAAGAGTTTGTGGATCGATTTGATTTCAGAAATTAATGTCTGGAAAGATACGAGGATTTGATCAACAGAAGCGTTGTTTCCGTTTTGCTGGAATACTTTTAGACTATCTTTTCATCAATATCTTCGTATGTGCCGCGTCCTTGCAGACGTAGGCAATTCTGGCTCTTCATAACTTACTGTATTTTTCTATATGTCCTAATCTTTGTCCTGCCAAAGATTTACACAAGCACATTAAATAGGTTATGTGCTGCTTTTCTCAGTGCCTCTTGGCTTCAATATGTCCTATGAGTGTCAAATTTTCCAAGCTCTCTTTCCTCGTTATGTACGCTAGAAATTTCAGCTGTCTCTCTCTGAAGCTATGTATAAGTGTCCTCTTGTTTCCATTTTCTCTAAAAAAAAAATTTGCCGTTGCTCACATATTCAGTCCATGGTATTCTCGGCAACCTTCTGTAGAACTATATTCCTGTTGTCTCAAGTCTCCTCGCCATCTGCGATGAGAGGGGTCATCGTTCACTGCAATATAGGAGTATCGATATTACATAACAGTTCAGTAGGAGTATCGATATAGCATAACAGTTCAGTACTCTTTTCTTTGTTTCCAATGAAATATTTCAGTTTCTTAATACTTTACTTAGCTTTTGAAAGGCATCTTTCTCTACCGCTTAGCGTCTTCGGATTTCGGTCTCACATTATCCGTCCTCTGTTAAAACCCTTCCAAGATGTTTAAATTTTTGTATTTGTTTAATTTTGGTATCCCCAATTTGTAATTCGCATCTTGAGCTGTTTCTATTGTTGTCGACCATGGACTTTGTCTATTTACGTTTGATGTTTAGTCTGTTCTTCTCACTTTCCTTCATTACATTCTCTATGAGTTCCTGTAATTTCCTTTCTGTATCTGCTATCAACACTGTCATTTGCATATCTAATATTGCTAAAGTTGTGGCTACCATTTATGAATTCTGATAGGATTTCTAATTCTTTCAGAATTGCCACATTATATAATTCCTTGTTACCTCCCCATAAATGGTGTTCCATAGTTATGCCATGACGCAGCACTCCTCACTCTACATATAAGAAATTTAATTTTCAGATGATCACAACAATTTTTTTCTTTCGCAACAATGAACACTGCAATACTTATCCTGTAATTAACAATACCCTGATGATGACATTGTAGTATGTCGAAAGCACTCGGAAATAAATACAATATGTATCAACACGGTGTTTTCCTCTCGACTTTCAATAATCACACAAAAAAGATTATCCGTGAATATGAAATGATCCTATCGAGAATAAGTAGACACAACATGTCTAAATTAAACGAAACATGTCATGTAATATATATATATATATATATATATATATATATATATATATATATATATATATATATATATGCATAAATAAAGGTTGACACTGTGGTCAGCACCAGTGGCAACAGTCTGTTTCAAGCTTGACTGAAGCTTGTGCTTAAGCATCAAGCAGACTATGACCGCTTGGTGTTGGCCTCGGTGTCCGCTTTTTTATTTTCACAGGCGCTACCCCTGAGTCCTGTTATCCATATATATATATATATATATATATATATATATATATATATAGTAGCCCTAAAACAATATTTTTATCCTATACGTATATACTTTAATCAATTCACCCCAAGCAAGACGACTTATTCGGAAATTTGAAAGATTTAATAAAATATTGATAGGCAGAACTGATCTATGTTATTTCACAAATCATCTTTTAGAGGATATATGTGTGTCTTTGTGTGCGTGTTTCGTGTGTCTCCAGGATTAGAGAAATGTCAAGTCAGGTCTTTGTTTTTAATAATAAAGATTTTTTTCTGAAAATTTAAATGTTTTTTTTTCTCATGTTGAATGACTTGTTTATTGTTCTTTCTTTTTTTCATTTCAGGTAAGTTTTCTCCCCGTTTTCTAGTCAAGCAAATGAAGTAAGTTAAATCAATTCACTTTTTATTTACGCATGACGAGATTGGCTCCATTATAAGAAATCATATTGGAAGCCCGAAATAGAAACAAATCACATATATACATACATGTATGAGACTACAATTATGTAGTGATTTTGACATATTTTCGATGTAATATCCTAAAATAAATAATATATCTCTGTGTGTGTGCGTGTGTGTGTGTGTGTGTGTGTGTGTGTTTTGTGTAATTATTCATATATAAAACATTTTCCCTATCAGATTTTAAAGCCTGTAAGAGGTACGTTGTAAACGCCATAATTAACTATTAACTTTGTTTCCGGTCACACATGCGTCGCCGTAATCGAGACCGCTTCAATGGAAAGTCAGCTTGATCGACGCGGCCCAAACTAATTAACTTGTAACAAAACAGTTTAAATCACTAATCAAATACTGAACTTTTTAAAAATTATTCGCCGAGGGCATCAAGCAGAAATTCAGTCTGTTTCACTGCCGCTCGTGTCAGAGATCGATGTCATGACATCGATGTCGTCAGTGTAATAAATGTCTTCGTGTCCGTTTGTGATAAACGGCCCCTAAGTTTAACGAGAGATGCTATGAGCAGGGTCATGTGATTGACTGCTGTTGACTGATAAATAGTAGAACATTTTATTGGTTCCATCATATGCTGCGAGAGGGCACAGTCGTAAGAATATCCACTTCCGTTTTACGCCACTGTAGAGAAATAGCCACTTGCCATTGAAATATGTGTTGAAAAATGTGAAATTTTTCAACACACATTTCAATGGCTAGTGGCTATTTTTATCACTTTAAACGTTATTTTTAGTAGACGCTCTGTTTATCTTTTTTAAAACAGTATATTTATTTTCGTCTACCGGCTTGAATGTTCAAGATATTTCATTAAAGAATAATATGCGTCCTCCACCAGGATACGAGCCTGCATCTTCCTTCCTTAGAGTATCCACTAAAAATAAATTTTAAAGTGATAAAAATAAAAATACTGGGTAAACTATATATATATATATATATATATATATATATATATATATATATATATATTGCAGTAAAGTTCACCCTTTACAAGGCCCAGGTGCCACTCGTGGTAGAGGGTTACATTAGGAGGCAATTTGTGCGTATAGGAGTGGAAGATAACAGTTAATCCTAGCCTTGAATAGGTTAAGATTGTTTTGATCGAGGAAATATCCTCTTGGGGGTCGATTCCACGGAGCAGTGGCTCGCAAGAAGAAGCTGTTCGAGTGGAACTTACATCTCACCAATGGAATACAGAGGGAATGTGTGTAGTTTGCTTTTCTATAAGTGGTATTGTGCGTCCTTGCCGTGAAGGTTTGAATTGGCGGGAACTGAGAATATTTAATAAATTATTTAATGAAATAATTTAATAAATTCTTAGCTTTAGTCAATAGAACCAGGAATAAAATGTTAAATTGAAATTTACATTCTAAGTTTTTTTTTTCTCCAGAATTTCGTCGCCCAAATATATAATTCCCTTATATAAACATATTTTTAAACGAAAAAAAAACAAAAAAAAAAAACATATAGAGTTGTGCACCGGGCGACACTTTTATGGGGCGGGGCATTTGTGTTTACAGTAAATCATTTTAATGTTGGGACGCTATACGCAGTTGAAGAATCTTTTCAATATGGCATATGTATTTAAGTGATTATTATCATGGCCGAATAATAAAATTATTAAGTGATTTATTCAGGGTTGTTTTATCATTGTTGACAATGTGAAACCTGTAAAAGAACCCAGAATTCGTTCTTTTAATGCCGCAGCACATCTTGGTTGTTATCATAGAAATTTCAGTTACTTTCCTTGACAGAATTTCGTTTGAGTCTATGTGTTGCTCTAGTTTTCATCTTTTTAGGTCAGTTATATATATATATATATATATATTGCCATCCATTTAAATGAGCTCGTAGGCACATCGACGTGGTATAATGGTTAGCAAGCTTGTTCGATCCTCACTGGATGCCCCAGACCGTTGTCCTTGTACCACATCTAAGCCACGCTTAGAAAATTACCATTTAAATGAGCTTGTTTCGTTACTCGATGAATCTCACTACTTCTTTTGCTTTCGATATGTCTTGCCAGTGTTAAATTTCCAAGCCTTCTTT